AACGCCCCTTAGCTAATGTGGCTTCACTCTGATCTGAGGAAAAGCTAGACTTACAGGAGCTGCTCTGTTTGTCCCCTCTTTCCCAAAAAAATCAACCATTGTGTTTTGTTTGGGGTCAACCACTGAGATATATATATATATATATATATATATAATTTTTACACAATAGTATTAAGCAGCACAACCGTTTTCAATATGGATAAGAATAAGAAATGTTACTTTATGACTCAGTCAGCATAAGAGTGATTTCTGAAGGATCACGGGACACATGAAGACTGGAGTAATGATGCTTTTCAGATTTGCAATTACAGGAATAAATTACATTGCAAAATATATTAAAATAGAAACGGTTATTTTAAATTGTAAAAAATATTTCACAATGTTTCTGTTTTTACTTTATATTATTATATTATAATATATTATTATTTAGCATTTAAGTAGTATACATTAACATTAATAGGAACAGGAATGAATTAACAATGAACAACAGTATTTTTATAAACTGATATTAATAGATTATTAATGTATGTAAAAATGTTACCTAATGCGTTATCTAATAATTGTAACATGTTACCGTTATATTAATGTTATACATATATATAACAGGATATATAATATATAGGATTAGAGTTTTGAAGAATTGCCACAGATGACTGCCTAAAGTCCTGATTGAATGATTAATAATCAAAGGTGAATTCTTTTGTGAATGACATGTCAAGCAACTCTCTGTCAAGCAAAAACAGCATGCATTTGCTGTCTGTCTCTCTCTCTCTCTCTCTCTCTCTCTCTCTCTCTCTGTTTCATTCATACCCATAGCAACATTGTTTGGTAGATGATACATTGCCATTTATGAACATTGTATGTTTTAGTATGGCAACCTTTCATTTAAATGATCACAAACATATGTTTGGGCCATCTGAGGGGAGGCTGCTTTGAGCATTTGAGCCTCTTGCATGTGTGTGTGTTGGGCTGCTTTCGCCCCTGCTGTTCTATTGATCTACTGAACAAGGCCCAGGCTGCACCCTCCTCCGTGTCTCTATTCACTGGGAGGATGTCATGAGGGTTGGGAGGGATTTCTTTTTAAAAATGGAGAGATTAAAGCAATCTTTTCAGCAAGCTATAAGCAGCCTCTATTTGTTCATCTGTTCACCTAACAAGGGTGGACCAATGTAACAGCACTTTGGGGCCATATTAATATTTATGATCCGTTTTTAATTAGGACATGGAGGTCGTGCAAATCTGGCCACTATCTGTGCTTAAACGGGAAAACATCCCCCAGTGCACCCCTTGCATTGTCACAACATTTGCTCGTCCCATCTCGCGCTCTCTAAAGAGTGTAATCGCCTGCACTTTGCCTTTCACTTGAGGAGACGTCCCGCTGCTCAGCCTCAGGCAGACGGGCCCCTAAAATGGACTAAAATCCCCCTGCTTCCCTTTTTTTTGAGAAAACCTAAAGCCCATCCATCTTTCATTGTCTATAATCAATATGTCCATTTGAAAAGAGCTGATTTTTAAAAATTGGTTTAACTTAACTAAATGAGAGGTACTGCTTGAGTTTTGAAGCTTTCATAACTGTTTGTTGCCTGCAAATTGCAATAGAACCATATAACAATAGAAACCTGACAGATCATGTACATCACATGTAGATTCTTGTTTGTTCATATGAAATACCTCTCTAGAAAGTGCTTGTGGAAATATAAGTGCAGTTCAGCAGATGCTTTTGTGATTTTTATGATTTTATGAATATGTATCTGTTCTTTTAGATTTAGAAAAATAAACATTTAAGATTGAAGTTTTTTAATACTATTTAAATGTTTTATATTAAGGCAAGATACTACAGAAACCAAAACTATAGTTTATTTTTTTCATGCACTGGTAAATTTTGAGATTTTGGACTATTTTGCTTCCATAACTTGTCTTCTTTCAGACTAGCAGAAAGAAAACATCCAAAATGCACATGCAATTGTTTATTATACTTAATCTTGCAATCTTTGCATGTGTAGATTTCAAGTAGAAGTACACACACACACACACACACACACACACACACACACACAAACATATATTATACATGAGAATCAGTGCAAGTACGGTGATATGTATTTATATTTATTATTTTACCCTATTCACCTGTAGTGTCTTGCCTTAAAATAATAATATTAAATTAATTCAATATTACATATAAACAAACAATAGACCAAATTACTAAGTTGTGTAATTACCTAATCGTAGGGAACCTTTACTTTTATTTTTTTTGTAAACAATTCATTAAAGAGGCCAGCAAAACAAACCACAAGTCAATGCTTAGGAATTCAATTATTAATCATTACTGAATACGAGTACACTGTATTAAGTCATTAGGGTCTCAAATATTTACTTGAATATTTTTACTATAATATTTTAAATG